AATTTTGAAAGATTTAAAAATAAAATACATCTATTGATTCTCCAAAGTTGTCAAAGTAAGACAGGAGGGGAAGTTATCTGGCACTCTGTTTCAGAGGTCAGGAAACTGAAACTGATAAAAGCACATGGCAGCAAATCAGGAGAATTTGCAGTCCAGCTCTTGGGTTTTTTTCAGATTTTACAGAAAATGTATCACAGCTTTATCCTGACATAACACACCCCCACCCCCTTCACCCACTCCCCCGCCACCAATGAATTCTGTTTACCTGTATTGCAAAGTCTATAAGTCCATTGATATTCAGTGCTGGTTCCATGAGATCAAAGATGAGCTGTATATGGTGAGCCAAAGGAAGATGATAGGATGTTCCTGAGGCAAAACTAGTTATCTGTTCAAGAACATTACTGGAGATCTGTGAAAATAAATGTTGAAAAGTCATATGGTGACTGAGGGTTTCTCAGATGCACTAGTGCTCCAAAAATCCTATCTTGTAGGTGGTAATAGCAAGTGACAGCATTTTGCAGATAAAAGCACTAACAAATCATGCTTGAGTATATCTATTATGCTACTATCCTGCAAGTCAGTCGTAATGCCGTTTTATTTCCAAAACTGACAACACAGAAAATGCTGTTCTGCTGCTTTACAGCTAAAAGTCACACTGTTCTTAACATCTACAATACTGATTTTTATTCTGTGGGGTATTTTGCTTTAAAGAGGCAAAATCATTTTTCTTTTCATCTTACTGCATTGTGATTTTTTTTATTGATGATTTTCAGATAATTAATAACATGTTATCCTGCAAAAAAAACATGTAATAAATTCATTCAAAAGACCAGATTCAAAGATGTCTTACAAATTAAGTACCAAACGTGTACCTCCTTTACTTTGTTTCTTATATTAGCCTCTGGTTATTAAAATGTACTTAAAAACAGTAACACCTGGCAAAGCGGTGAAATCCTGTGCTGACGTATTTGCACACATACAGGTTCTAATATAAACCAGGAAAACTAGGCTTGTCATTTAAAACAAATTATTTATGTTCTCCAGTCAGCCACTGATATAGCTTTTTAACAGTAAAGGTTGACTATAAATATCCAGAAAAGAACAAACTGTATTATCCACCGGCTTTTCAAAGAAACATACTCAGTTTGTTGCACAAAAACACAGAAGAGTTCACTGTCCTTCATGAACACAGATGAAGTAACATCTTACACATATGCAAGAGATTGTTTAATAAGTATCTAATTTACCAACGAGCTCTAAACAATGCTGTTAATGGAAATTTATGTAAAATTTATTTCAAATTTTTCATTAAAAAATCAGGACATCTATAATAATACAGAAAGCTTCTTGCATAACAAACAAGCAAAATCCCCCAAACATACCAAACCAAACACCCAAATATCTACAGAAGCAGGTATTTTATAATACCAAGGCAACATTTTTTCACTTGCTTTTGAAGAAGCAGTGCACTGAAAATTCTTGGTATATACAAAACACTTCTAAAAACCTAGATTTGCTTCCTATTTGATATCTCTACAGTAGAACATAAAAGGCTATGATTTTATACAAGGGAAGTACCTGAGATGTCACCTGATGTTGATCAAAATAGGACAGTTGCTGTAGTTTTGTGAACACGGTCTCTAGGGTTGGAAATGCTTCTTGTTTGGTCTTCCTGGCTTTTTGCCCTTCATCCCCAACTTAACAGATAAAAAATTATTTTGGTCATTTTACATTTAATGGAGCCCTAGTAGTTTTGCATTATTATGGATTTAAAAGACAATAAAAATTTTAATAAGCTTTACTCATGACTACATAAAGCCCTACTTGCCTCAGTTTTCCATTATACTTGGGAAAAATATACGCCACAGCACGTAACAATATCAAAGCTACTTCGAGGTTATTCCATGCAAAAAGGTGACAGCCAAGAAAAACTGAAAAACAGTCATGCAGTTTTACTAGGAGGGGTAAGGAATATGTATCGCTCACTGGCCAATATCTCATATTCCAGGCTTTAGCCAAATGCAAGTGTTTACAGCCAAGTTGTTATAATGGAAAATAGGGATTTCTAACCACAGTGGCCCTTTGCCATCCTGGTGCAGCTGTAAGGCAGGCCAACAGATTGCACTTTGTGCTGACTCTGGTCAGTACTTCACCCAGTGACTGCAAAGGGGATGAAAGCCAAATTACATGATCAACACGCATGGCTCCAGACAACTTGCTGAGCACCTAACAGCTCCCGTGATCTTTACTACAGGCTACCATACAGCAGCATTAAAGCATTTACCACCCATTTCAGTAGTACTCTTCTTATTCAGAATTTTGAGGATGTCTTTGGTAATCTTCTTCAGCTGATGCCTTGCTTCATCGCGCTCCTTACCAACACCATAAAGGAGAATCATACGCTGGTTACACTCATGACTGGAAGATTCATCCTGAAAAGATCAGATACAAGTGAAGACTCTTTTCTTTTTTCTGTCATCACCTGCAGAAACCCAACCTGAGTAGCCCAGACTGCAATAAACAATAACTAACTCTTTGTCACAAAAAACATCTCCTGTGGTTATCAGTGTGGAGGAAACAGTGCCAAATGAAATCACCAAAGAGTAGGGTAAAAATACAGAGGGAAAAATTGTCATCTGATATTAAGAATTCTGTATGTATCTATAAGGACAGAGTCAGGGGACGCATACAGATAACCTCCTAACTGTCCCCTGGATTGATATTCAGTAGCAGATTAGTAAGTAGAAGACAAATGTCTAGAAACTGTGCAACTTTTCTCTTATTATGTACAAGTCCATTGAAAAAAAGATGCACGCCAACTCCTAAAATTCTATTTTGCACGTCCCAAAGAAATTGAAATATGTATAGTTTATTTAAATTGTAACTGGTTATATTTAGTCTTTTAATAAAATGTATTGTGTAATGTTGATGCACTGTATATAAGTTAAAAACTTGGAGCACTGCTCTGCAGTCATATAAAGTATAAATATTTTGTTCAGTAATATACTTACCTTCTCCAAACTAAACAATCCCTACTACTTTCAACTACTTTAAAAGTTTTTAAAAAATAAGGCTGTGTACAAAAATAGTACTGAAGAATCACAAGGCAAAAAGGTAGATGGGGTGCAACTCTGTGCTCAGACAAGTTGCACAGTCTTACAAAATACATGCTCTCTTTCAAAAATAGTGACTCTGTTAGTAGGTCAAAAGCAGGAAGTAAACCTCTAATTATTTTTAAAATTCTATTTGTCTCTCTCATCTAGAGGAAACAAAAGCAGAAGCACTGAGAACGTCACCTGGAATTTGCAGCTGTCTCTGGCTAAAAAAGCAGTTCAAAGCCAGAGGAAGGTCTAAGTCTCAGAACTGGGATGCTCAGCCATTCCTCCAGCCTCTCCTTGCTCTGTGGGATTTACACATGAACACTCCTGCCTGCTCACATGGTGAAGAACTAGAGGAACTGCCAACAACCCTCTGTCAGCACCACTAGCTTCCCATCACAGGATATACCCAAGCGTTTCATTGCTTCTCAACAGCACTCTACGGTAATCTCTTTGATTTTGGGGTGGGGGGCAAGGTGTCTGATTTTGCATGCTTAGGGAATTCTTATTTCATTAGGATTAGGCTTGGCAGGTGAATCTGTTACATGCTTCAAAGCATAAGCCAATTTATTTCTGTCTTACCGGTAAGATAGAAATAAACCTTTGCAGCTCTGTAAGGAAGACGTCAGGGATGTTTGGGCATTGGCTGACAAAGCATCAACTCCCGAGTGCCTTATTTTACAAAGGCAGAGATCATACAGAAATATAGCAATTTTTACAATTGCATCACTACACACCTGAAAGTTACTCCTTTTGAAATGCAACACTGACTGATTCAACATCCCTGCCTGGCTTTCCCAGGCAACCAGTTCTGATCAGACCTGATCTGATCAAAGTTTTCGGACTGAGAGCAACAGTTATCAGCTCAGCCCCTGTTACCAGTTACACAGATGCCCGTCGCTCGGAATTTGTGGATGACTGGCTGGCCAACATGCTTTTGGTTTCGTGGTTAGAGCGGGCTCGGAGGGGTGCAGTGCTGCGCAGGGGTCTCAGCAGTGACTCCACAGGTGCTCACTGCAGAGCACGGGATGCTGCAGCTCCTGCGTGTTGGCTCAAGTCAGCGAAGTTTTAAATTTATTTGCAACACAGCACCGGTAAAGCAAGTGATTTAGGAAAACGACAGGATAAACCGTCAAACTAGAAGCAAAGGTATACATGAATACCTACATAAATAAAGCTACAAATACCTTCAGACTTTGTGGGCAAATGTGTAACTGCTGCAGTAACGGACACCGTTGGCTGTCCAAGTGCTAATACGTAGGGCTGAAGAGCAGGTTCTCCTCTCTCTTTCTTCCCCTTGGAGGAGAGAGGCAGCTTGGGCAGACGCGCCTCAGACAAGCGAAACCGCAGCCTCGCCGGCCCGCCTGCGGCACGACGGCCTTTCCGCCCCGGGCAGACCCTCACCAGCTCCTCTCTGCTGCCGGGCCGAGCCCAGCCAGGCCAGGGCCCGCGGCCCACCTCGGCTGCAAGTTCGGCGGCAGGGCCGCGGGGGCCGGGAGATCCAACGTCAGGGCCCCCCGTCCCCGCGCTGCACCCGGCGAGAGCTGGCAGGGGGGCCCACCGCCGTGCCAGCCCCTTGCCCGCCCCTGCAGTGCGGGTCTCGGGGAAGCTGCGTGGGAAGCTCGGGAGGTTAGGATGGAAGGTCGCCTCGGTGTTTCAGTCACAGAAGACCAAGCCAAGCCACCTTACAAACGTGGCTACATCTAGCACTCTTCCCCTGTAGAAACCTGACATCCTCAGTAAAGTAAAACACAACTTACAGCAGCCAAAATCCCCAAAGGTATGCTCCCAACAAAAATTAAAAGCAGACCAAAAAGGTTGAAGTCTTACCACAGATATAACTCACAAATTCATTTTCTTCTTTTTTGTTTTTACAGGGAGCGGGAAAAAGACAAAGTGCAAATGAAAGCCACAACCAACCTCGGCTACTCCAGAAACAACACCAACTGCACCAGCGATAACAAACTCAGCCAAGCCATTTTTCCTTTGCTTTATACAATTCTGTTCCTGGTGGGTATCACCATGAACGGCCTGGCAATGTGGGTCTTTTTTAAAATATCCAGCAAATCCAATTTCATCATCTTCCTCAAGAACACCGTCATTTCTGACTTCCTCATGATCTTGACTTTTCCATTTAAAATCCTCAGTGATGCAAAGTTGGTATCATGGGAACTGAGAGGATTTGTGTGCCAGGTCACCCAGGTTGTATTTTACTTCACCATGTACATTAGCATTTTGTTTCTTGGTCTAATAACTATCGATCGCTATCAGAAAGCTACTTCGCCTTTCAGAACATCAACACCAAGGAAACTTCTAGGTGCCAAGATTCTGTCTACAGCAATTTGGATATCAATGTTTGCTCTTTCATTACCCAACATGATTCTAACGAACAAGAAGAAAACGCCTAAGAACGTAAAAAAGTGCGCTCTCTTGAAATCTGAGTTTGGCTTAGTCTGGCATGAAATTGTAAATTACATTTGTCAACTTATCTTCTGGGTTAATTTAGCAGTCATAGTCGTATGCTACATACTCATAAGTAAAGAGCTGTACAAATCCTATAAAAAGACAAGATCCAGAGGAAAGGCATCCAAAAAGACTGTAAATCTGAAGGTTTTCATCATTATCGCAGTGTTTTTTATTTGTTTTGTGCCTTTCCACTTTACTAGAATCCCCTACACATTGAGCCAAACAAGAGATGTTTTTGAATGCTCTGCTCAGAACACCTTGTTTTACTTGAAAGAGAGCACGCTGTGGCTAACATCGCTAAATGCTTGCCTAGATCCATTCATATACTTTTTCCTTTGCAAATCATTTAGAAAGTCCTTGCTAGACATGTTGTGCAAGCACACAGCATTGTCAGAACTCAGAGCACAGATGAAGGAGCAGAACGAAGGAGATGACACAGATGAGACACCGGTCTAGAGCTAAGAACTACCCATAGTCCTTCTTGGCCACACACATTTATTGGTGGGCGGAAAGAGCACAAAATCCTGCGGAAGAATATCTAGAATTTCACCAACTTCTTTAGAAATTGTCCTACAGATGAAGCACAAGCACCTGGGAACCAACATCACTGGTTGCAAAAATGGTGAAACTAGAAAGCCTGAATAAAACAAGAGCACCACCTGATCACAACCTCCATGCTTGTCAGAATTGCTAGGAAGAAGTCTGAACTTACAGTTGGAGCTGTAAGGAAAAAACTAAAACAAAGTCATGAAAGGCTACAGATGAGATTATGAACTGCAAAGATTTTGCAGAAATAGCTTAACTTGGGCCAGAGTAAAGCTCATGACAACACAAGATCTGGGAAATGCAAATAAAATCCACAGTAAATGTGATTTTTAAATACAAGGAGTTGTCACCTTGTACACAACTGGCAGACAAACAGAAATATAGGAAATACGTAGATAAGCTATTTATCTGTGCAGATTTTTGGTAACGGAATAACATTTTGCTTATCTCATTATATGCTTGCAATCCTTAATCCATTGACCAATAAATTAACAGTTATATGTCAGAGGAAATTATTTCATAATCAGGCTTATCTTGATGTGAGTTAAATCTTCAAATACTTCACCTTACTACATGAATAAACAAAAATGTACACTTTTATAGGGAAAAATATATTATATTAGAAAATATACAAAGGATAAATTTACAGAATACTTAGATCTTAGGGAAAGAAAGACTCATAGTAAAATCTTCATTGATTATTAAGGGCAGCTTTTTTGCACTATACAAAAAATTTAACCACTTTCCCTTTTTCATTTGGAAAAGCTGAAAAGAAACAGGGAAGAATTTTCAGGTTCATGACATGTTCAGGTATCATAACAATCACACGTGACAAAGATCCTAGGCTATTGTAATAAATTATGGTTCATCACTGCAAAACAGCTCCAATTCAGAAATATGTTTCACCATCATGCAAGAGCTCAGTCCTGCCAAAAGCCATTGCCTGTTTACCCTTCTCCGGTACTTATCTGTGCCTGGCAGGGCACTGGGCATTTTTACAACTGATATCCAATTTCCTCAAAACTTAAAAGATGGTTCACTTACTTTAACACTCAGCCTTAGAGTTTATGCATCTGTCATAACCTGCCTGAATTAATTAAATATTTTACAAAATGTTTTGTGCACTGCTTATGCTGGTATATGCACCAACACTGATTACAATCAGTAACTGGGTTACACCGCAGAAAACAGGGTGCCTTTATTTTCCCGGAACCAGCGCTGCTGGTCACTCCAGAGCACGCTCTCCACAACTGACCTCATGGGGCCCAGGACTGATCATGCGAGATGCCCCATTTCCACCCAACGCTCACTCCCCACACTTTTTGTACCTACACATGGGCAGAGAGCGGCAGTTATTTGGCAGCTGCTTTTCCTGATCAGATGAGCTGTTCACACAACAGATACTACAGCTATCTGTGTACCATGTAGCAGTCACTGACGGGATATACGGAGGCACTTTGCACCTGCCTCTTACAGTTGGGAACAGTGTCAAGAGGTCAGTTTGGAAGAAAACGTGGAAGATGCTGCCTTGGACATCAGTCCCAGGGTATTGCAATGGACCGTCTCAGCTTTATATAGTCCTTGATGAATGAACAGAAGTCAGGTCAGGCAGCTAGCGACATGTCACACTGATGACAATGGTGAGGGTGACCTTCATCCCAGTCATCCTCAAGGCTTTTTGCTCTCTGCCAGCCATTTAACACTGACATCAGCATGCACACCTACATTAACCAAAATGTAGATACTAATGCACGAACTTACTGTCAATACAGCTGCAGCCTGAGAACCTCAAAAAGCAATCCATGCCTGCCCACAAAAGGATGGCTTGAACGCGAGTCATTTCCCACACGGCAGCAAGCAAGGAGCCAGAACCCTAAGTCACATCAGTTGACAGGAAAATACAAGATAAATCACATGACTCAAACTTACATAGGAAGTTCTGTTTGCAGAGGAATGCACTAGATTCCAACATTATACATAATAAACACATAATAAATACAAAGTATACCATGCAGCAGCAGCAGCTTCTGCCAGAACCAGAAAGTTGCTGTAACCAGCACCTGTATCACCTGGCTACACTGATGCCAAAATAAACCAGAAATCCCATTCTGGAGATCAAAAGTCAAGCTCAGGTTCATGTGTCAATATTAAGAGGCTACAGAGGGAGGGTACAGTTTCTGAATATGTCAGTGCACATGATTTTGTGGCCAAGTAACCTATTGTAAGGGTGGCTCTGAGCACACTTTCTGCTCATGCATTTGACAATGACTAGTGCTGTCCAGAACAGGGGAATTCACACACACAAACAAGACCTCAGAGCTATGTTTTAGGATTATCCTGGAAAACTGTCAGGTAACACTCTGTGTTTGCTCATCCTATGTCTCTAAAGGAGCCAAATCATAATGGCACAGTGTAGGTGCCATCAGGTCTGCCCCAGACAAACAAAAAGCCAGAAAATGTGCCTGTCTTGATGGACATAGTTATTTTTTTTCTTTATTAGTATAAGAGGAGGTAACATACTTTCTGACAGAGAGCAAAAGGGAGAGAGAAAAGCAACAGCAAACATGATTAACTCAGGCAATATGTGAAAATGAGGAAGGAAACAACACAACACACCAACAGAAAAAGTCTCATCTTTCTACACATTTCCGTATTCTTAGTACTTTGCTCACGGCTTCTGTCGGCAGAGGAACAGCGGATGAACCAGAAATAGCCAAGACTCCTCTCTGAAACAGCTGCTGCCAGGTTTGCTCAGGTACTTCCACAATGGGAGCGTTCACGTGGTGTGATGGGGCACTCAGTCATCTGGCTTTCAGATGTCAGAGGCTGATAACCAGCAGTGTGCCTCTTACCTTGGTAATGTTATTTAAATCTATGCTGAGAAAGGAAAAATGGTGTATGCTTGGTAAGAAATACCAAAGTTGTTTCCCCAGAAGCACCTTGCTTTTGGGCCATAACTGTAAAATTTCTATTCAATGTTAAAATACATTTCCATGTAAAGACAAAAGGTGCTCTACGCAATCTGCTGTTATACCTTGCTATTATATTATCTTAGGCCTCCATAATGAATATATACCAGTTTAACTTTTCATTAGACATTAGTTTGTAAACAACTTGAACTTCAGCAAAGATTTATATTTTCTATGAACTAGAAGAGAAATCGGTCAGTCTAGTTAATGCACCTTCTTGTTTTGGGTTTATTTGTGTAAACCTGCCAGTTGCTGTAAGGAACAAGTAATTTTAAATACAGAATGTTACATGTGTTCTCTCTTCTTTTCACCCAAGTCTATTTCAAACAATGGGAGATTTTGCAAACAAGAGTACTGTCAGTAACTCCAGTGGAGTACCCTCCTCTGCACCGTGCCACCGAGACACCACAGTCACCCAGCTGGTCTTCCCAGTACTGTATACACTCGTCTTCCTTCTGGGACTTGTACTGAACAGCCTGGCTTTTTGGGCTTTCTTCCATATTCCAAGCACGTCAACTTTCATTGTCTACCTGAAAAACATCTTAGTTTCTGACTTCATAATGACCCTGATGCTTCCTCTGAAAATCCTGACGGACTCTGGCCTAGGACCATGGCAACTCAAAGCCTTTGTCTGTCGCTTCTCAGCCGTGGTATTTTATGACACCATGTATATTAGCATAGTGCTACTCGGTCTCATTGCTTTTGACAGATTTCTCAAGATTGTAAGACCTTTTGGGAAGTTCTGGGTACAAAATCTGACTGCAGCAAAGATCCTTGCGGGTCTAGTCTGGCTCTTCTTCTTTGTTCTGTCTCTGCCTAACATGATCTTATCGAACAAGAAAGCAACACCCCAATCCGTGAAGAAGTGTGCCTCGTTGAAGAATTACTTTGGACTCAAATGGCACGAAGCTGTCAATTATACCTGTCAGTTCATCTTCTGGACTGTTCTCATCCTCATGTTTCTATTTTATATAATTATTGCCAAAAAGGTATATGAGTCTTATATAAAAACACAGAAGAAGGACAAAAAAAGCAAACAAAGGATCAAGGGGAAAGTATTCATCATTTTTACCGTGTTTTTCTTATGCTTTGCCCCCTTTCATTTTAGCAGGGTTCCCTATACTCTGAGTCAAACGACTACCCGAATGGACTGCCGTATGCAGAACCAGCTCTTTGTTGCGAAAGAAAGCACTCTGTGGCTGGCTGCCACAAACGTCTGCATGGACCCCCTGATATACATGTTCTTGTGCAAACCATTTGTAGAAAAGGTGTTATGCAGGAGAGTAAAGACATTTCAGAAAACAGTTCATACAAACCCAAAAACCGAACTGGACACACGGATGACTGCTACTGAATCTTGATTCTGCAGCTTCACGCTCTACAGTCTCTGCATATTCATAGAGAAGTTAGAAATAATTTGTTTTACTTCTGCTGTAAAAAATGAAAGTGTGGTTGTACTGCAATATTAATACTTAATAAAAACAGCACAATGGATTTCCTTATTTATGCTCACTGCTTAGCCTTAATAGGCAAAAAGCTGTCACTCAACTGCCAGCCCTGATCTAACACCTATCTTTCCCCTGAGCTGTGCTCTCTCATTGATACCACCATCACTAACCAAAGCTGTGGAAGCCCAGCCATGCCTTGGCTGTGCCTGTCCAAGCCACAGTACTGCTGCACTCACAACACAGAGATCTGTATTACCTCAGAGCCACTCATGCGACTTCACAGCCATAACCACATCGGTCCCAATAGGAAAAACAGCATCAATGATGCATAAAACTAACAATGATCAGTTTGTAGTCTTGTCTTGCTCTGCTGGCTCTGCAAAGCGAACAAGAACAGAGGTTTTCCTAATTTGGTCACTAAATCATGTCCACCTCACAGAATACAGACAACCAATAACCTATGAATTAAAGTACCTTCATATAACCTAAGACA